TATAGAATTTTTTTACTAAAATAATATTCGTCGGGTCTCCCCGTGATCACGGCTGCTACAAACAATCGGAAACATCGGGCCGTAGTTAAAATAGTACACTTTTGAATTAAGCACTTCAACGGTTTTAAACGCGATATATATTAGTTAAACTTAATTTAAAGTTATTTTAACTGCTGCCCGACATTTCGGATGCTTTGGAGCAACCCTGGTCACGGGGAGAACGTGTGTTTAACCCGTTAACTTGTTTTATTTAAATAAATAATATCATTTATCAGTAAGCTAGTCTATAATAGGCTAAGAAGCTTATGCACCCATGTTTCTAAGTCCAAAAGAGGGGAGGAGAGATATATTTTTAGTCATGTATATCCATTTCCCAGGTGCAGTATGGTAGAATTTGATTCATAGCATCGGCTACATCCTTAGAAGTAGCCGATCTAAGACGAGGCGTATGCAATTTCCTTCAACTAATAGATTCAGAGGTAGATGTCCATCTCAGATTAATTCCTGAACGGATGTGTTTGTCATATAAATTAACATCACTTGATTGGGATATCTCTAAGAACGTTTGGACGTCGTTACGTAAGAATGTTGTATGTTAAGCCTAGGTTTACATCTGACAAAATCAATTTTTGACGTCCCAAAATCTGTTTTGATAGGAATTGACTCACTCAGTCTCCTAGTTAAGACCAAATGTGACCTCTTCGAGATGATTGGTAAAATACTAAAAGAATTGTCTGCTTGAAATGATCTCTAATGTAATTTAAAACATTAATGTTATGTTTAAGAGTAATAATGTAATGGATAGTAAAAAAAAAAAAGATTAAATAGTTTTTATTACACTCTTGTTAAAACTAATTGAGCTGCCGTGTACAACACGTAATCGTAATTTTTTTTAAATCGATTGGTGCGTATCTTATCTAATCTTTAAAAGCTACATGTTACTGGTTTAAAACCGTATACTTATTAGACACTCTATTTTTAACAACGTTACGGATGCATTTTATGCGTGCTAAGCGGGGGTGGGGGGAGGGAGGGTAGTGTTCTATAGATGGCCAGTTTATCTAAAGTACAAAACACTTTTAATGTTTTTTTAATAATCAATTTCTCCATAGACATTAGACATACACGTACACGTAGACTAGACAGGCAACTAAAAATAAAAATAATAACTTTAGAATTTTATAACAAAACTGCTTCGTTCTCGTCCTACTTACTTTAAAAAATTAAACTATTGTCAATTGTCAAAAATATACTCTACTATTTTCAAAATGATTATTGATATAGTCGAAATGGGCTAGCGAATTCTAGCCTTTTATACAAATTTAATATATTGCTGGTTCATCGAAAACTCGCTCCATACAAAAACAAAACTAATATTTAAAAAAAATACAATCAATTCATTTCCACATACACAATTTCCCGCCTAAAAGCACATTGTTAGAATACTCGATTGTGTGTAATAGAAAGGAAATTAATAGTTACAACTGTCAAATATATCCCCGCATCTGTTTCACACCTTATTTTAACGCAGTAAAGTCGACATTCGCTAAAACTGGTGTTTATTAATCTTGGTTTTTAAGAGTGAACTATTGAGGGTCGGAACACAATTGTAAAAGTAAATCCATTTTGGCGCGTTCCTCCATTATTGTCAAGTGCAGATTATTAATTTGTATTGATTGTAAGCTAACTGAAATATGTTTAGGGTAATCGTAGTTTTTACAAGGTTTTAAAACGATTTTTGCGTTATAAAACACTCAGAAGTGGGTTACTCTTGTGGATAATTGTTTTTATAATGAGTTGCATTTTCATCCTAAAATTAAGAAGGATATATTTCGTTTTAGAGAGGAGGACAGACTTCAATAAAAATTGAACCCAGTCATTTCATCTTCATGGCATTTCAACAAGATGATCCACAGACCTTTTTTTGAAATTCACAAACAGAAAAGAATATGCGATTAAACTCCACGGCTTTTTCATCTGTGGACGGTGGTTCATAAACCCGGGCGGTTTTGATATTCCTAACGCCCATTTAATATCCAGATTTATAAACAACGTCCAAAATGTTTCAAAAACATAGATTACATATAAATATGTTGTTAATTATTATATATAAATTGCAGCCATTGGGCCAAAGACCCCTTAAAATAATAAAAAAAGATTTATTATGATTTGTTTGCAAATACGTTATTGTTTGTTTGCTATATAATAAAATCTAAGCAATCCATTTTTGCAAGAGTTTACAACATTACAGGTGTATAATTTAATTTATTTAAATAAAACACTTTAACGGTTTAAAACGCGATATATTAGTTAAACTTATTTGAAAATGATTTTTAACTTCGGCCCGACGTTTCGGATGCTTTGCAGCATGTGCAGCAGTGATGATCCGTTAGTGTTTAATTTAAATGTGTACCTACTACTTGCGTTAACTATAGACTGTATTTAATTTAATTTAGTTTTAAGTTAAGTTTCATATAATAAACAAGACACCGTAGACACTTCATAGTTACTCATTTGAGTAAAGAATCGTTACTTATAACATACTAATCGTTACTTTTAGTAATAACGATAAATTCACGTGTTTCCACAGATTTCCTATCAAATCGAATAACTCTTCGAGTTTATACTAGTTAACAAGATCAATAAAAAGTAGCCTACTCCATTTTGCAGACGTTGATAACACAATTTCTAGTGTCACTGTGCTACAGGGACGTGATTGTATTAAGGTCCCCGCTGTGATGTCAGGCTGCCTTCGCTGCGAAAATGCTTCCACAATATTAAAATAGATATACAGTTTATAGGACTATCAAATTAATGTCTAAGTTAAAGCCAAACTTCCAAAAAACGTAGATAAAGTTATATTCGTTATAGACAATAATTGAATGTATAAAAGTTAAGTTTTTTACGTTCATGTTTATTCAGTTCCATCCATTTTGGATTCATTTGATGGTAGGTGTACTTTAGACAAGATGCGCCGTCGATCTATTTTACCTTTGGATAAGCAAATGGATCGACCAAATTGTTCACTTGATGGAAGGTGTAATATAAACTATTTAACATTCATTTTGATTTTACATACTCGGTCACTTTAATCGTATTATTTTGTTTACATGTTATATAGCTCGAGTATTTCACCTTCCATCAAGTGACCTTGCTTGGCCGTTTTTCTTTGTGATAAAAATGTCTGTTCTTCTTCCTAACTTGATAAATTTTCCATTTTACCTATGTCGCGTGTATCTGTCAAAGTGTCGTCAAGATGAAGCAGTGTGTTTTTTTCTTCTGCCATTCCTAATTGAAAGTCCAACTATTACATACATACTGTGAGTTAAAAATCGGTTCAAGTTTGAAAATAATTTAAGACTCGCGCAGGACTTGAACCGCATCTTCCAATGTTCTTTACCTGAACTAGCTAGCGTGCCGTACACGTCATCGTTTCTTCAACCTATTGATACATGCGCCTCTAGCGCAATGTAGATTTGATAGAAGTGTCTATGACTTACATAGTTTTGGGTAACCAATGTCTCATAGTCACAAATTGATTATATCTACGTCAAGATTGACTCCTACATATAGTTTGGAGATTTACAGCACCACTCGAATGTTTAAATACACTGTTTATATAGAAGGCGAATTAGCAAGGTACATCGAGTAGCGAATCGTGGAAAACGTTTGATTGGTCGTCTGTAGGGTCTCAAACTTGGCGATTGCTTGTGTCAATACGGTTCCTTGTCTGGCGTCTGCTTTGAAGTTTTGTTTGAGCTGTTTCGTTAATTAAGTTTGTTGTTACATCTTCAGATTGTATACTTGCTGTAATACTACATTGATTTACATAATGTTGTGTTGATTTGTGTTTTTGATAGTAGATCTATATTATAAATCTGTTGTTATGTTAATTGTTGTAATGTTAGTGCAATTCGGAGCTTCTTCATTTGGTATCAAGTAAATCAAAAATATATAAAACGTGTTGAGTAATAGTGTTGCACCCTTTGATATCAACGATTTCGATAGAATATAAGGACATTTTCCCACGATTCCAAAAAAAAACGAACCCACGATCTTAATTAAAAACATTATGTTACTATGGGACGGAGCGCGTCAAAACCGTAGGGTATCTCATCAATAATTAGTAAATATTTAAAGATTGGGGTTTTCAATTGTTTAGAATTTTAGTTTGTTTGATGTCAATCCTGTAGAATTGATTTCCGTCTCTCCGTACGTACTCATACGTTGTTTATATTATCATGCGTCTCTTTACTTTGGATAACCAGAATACATTTGCCGTACTAAATAGTGTCGTTATCAAGTGAATAGCAATTAGTAATCGTTAGCTCAATCGGTGTGCCAAACACAAATCTGATAGCAGGCTCTAGTTTAGGTCGTTTCGGTTCGTCAAACCGGCCCCTTCGACTCAGCACTCTCTAATTGGGCTTCACTAATTCTACTGATTACGTCTCGCCTTTGGACTCGAGGTGGCTGAGATAATCTTGTTAACACGACGAACCGTTGTCTTAGTTGATACTTATTACCTTTGATAGCTCTCTATTATTTTTTTGATTGAGGAAGACAAACAAGTGGTTCAAGGAGTTTACTTGATGCTGAAATACCCTCGCCATATAATATTTAAACAAGATGCGTTGTTGAGCTATTTTGGCTTTGGATATTCGGAAATCACAGACTGAGACAGAAACGTGCTTGAACGTGACGACATTTTCATCGGTGGTTCGTGACCCGGGCCCATTTAATATTCATATTTCCAGACGAAGTCCAACTACCCGTTGATTATTAGCTATACGTTGCTACCATTGCTGCCATAAGGCACCAATTGTTACATTGCATTTAAAACTGATCAAATGAGGTTATCTAGATGTATGCGTGTTATAATTCTTATCAGTTCAAGGCTTTACCCCATTATCAATAGTACTGAAAAGATAAATACAAAGAAATCATTCTTAATAAAAAGAAAAGAGAGTTTAAAACCCTTTTTCTGTCTTTCCAGAAACATGTCATCTAAACGAAAGTCGCCACCGTCGAAATTGCAAGAAGGTGCCACCGACGTGAACAAGCCGGAACCTGGACCAGCCAACCTCGACTTCTCCGACCACCACGACACGGACGAGGACCAGAACTATTACAAGTTTTCGCCCAGCTCCTCGCCACGAACGTCCATCAGCGAAGAAGAATCCAACAACTACGAAGACGAGAACCCGAGCAAGAAGCAAAGATTCGAATCTTTAGACATGACAAATAATCTTCTAGTCCCTTCTTCGTTTCTAAGTCTGCACCAAGTCAGCGACCTCCAGGCGAGAAGGCGAGGCTCCTCAGAATGCAGTAGCCCTGGTGCTGAAGCTAAAGTCATAGGTCTTTGTAATAATAACAATTCACTGCTGAACCACAATAGTGCGCTTGCGCTAGGGCCACCGCACAAGCGGTCTATGGATGACGTTCTGAAGAGGCTGACGTCCAAAATGAATAACAGCACGATCAAAGAAGAGAAGAGACCGACGCCGTCTACTACGCCTGTTAAGCAGAACAAGTGAGTTTTTTTTATATTCTTTAGGGCGTTAAATACTTTGCGATAATGAGAGGGAAGTTTTATGTACCACAGGGAAACATAGCTATGTTATAGTAAGGTCTATATTTGGATTGATTCCAGTACCTTCCATACCTCTTTGAGACATTTTCTACAAAAACTACATACTATTGATTCATTGATAAAAAGGTATAATTCATACAGTCTGTAGTTTACGCGAGTAGGTAGTACACATTTAAATAAAGCACTTTAACAGTTTAAAACGCGATATATATTTGTTTAAACTTATTGGAAAGTTTTTTAACTACGGAAGGATGTTTCGGATGATTTGCCGCAGTTCAGGTCATGGCGAGACTAAAATGGAGGGTGTCTCTGACGTCAAACTAAAAACTAAAATAATTTTCAAATAAGTTTTACTAATGTATATCGCGTTTTAAACCGTTAAAGTGTTTTATTCAGAGGTATAATCCATTTTAAACAATATCGATAAACAATTTAAATTAATAAATTAGTATAGATAATAAGATTCTTTAGTAAATTCTTTGTTTTTTTCGCCTTGTTATTTCTTGATTATGGATAAAAAAAGGTACTACTTCATATTAGTTTATTATTAAACTTATTACCAAGAGATAATCTCGGTATTATTGGTAATTTCCGATGAGAGAATGTTTTGTTAATAATAATCAGACGACACGGAAATCATTATTATGAAGATAATGAAGTTTATTATGTATGTCATTGGCGATAAATCAATGTTATTTTGTTTCTCGACGCTTATATCTAACGCTATATTGTTATGACAACATATTTTGCTATTTCGCAAAAACTCTACTATCTAAGTTTTAGTAACGCACATCCTATTTTTTTTATAATCGAGGACGAGCATGGGGTGAAGATGTGCTGTTAATTTTGGCGTTTGATACACCTATATATACATATATATATTCCAATGCTTATAGTATATCTATATAACATCACTAGCTGACCCGGCAAACACTACTATGCCATATGATTTACTAGCTGTGGCAGCGACTTCTTATGGGTAGAATAATTATTTTTGATATATTTTTTTTTGTTTTTGAACCCCCTGTTCAACTCTGTAAATTTGAACACCCACGACGTCGTTCTTGCAAGTTAATCTTAAAAGATAGACATATTGTCGCGGACTTTTTTTATAGATCATTTAATAAAGGAAATAATTTTTCCTGACTTTTCCTCTTTTCCGCTTTTTTCTCGCTCCTATAGGCTATATAGCAAAGCGCTATGTGATAGTTAGCCTTCCTCAATAAATGTTCTAATAGAAAAATGTTTTAATTCGAACCAGTAGTTCCAGAGATTAGCACGTTCTAACAGACAAACTCTTCAGTTTTTTATATTACTATAGATAAACGAATTTTATTCGACTATCTTTAACTTTACAAGGGGTAAAGCTATGGCTTTTATGGTCGGTCTGCGGTGGTCCACACAACATTGTTTTTAATGAGCTGTAAGACGACCAATTAAACACTATGTAAACTCTTTATTTCGGTAGTGCTTTAGGAAACTGTAAAACGGCAATTAAAACACGAATAAACATAAGTAACGGCTTTGACGACATTTGAAGTAAGAGTTAGGAGTGCTTACACTGATATAACGTGAGATATTTATGCCTGACTTAGTAGTAGGTACCATTAAATACTGTCTATACTCTATAGTTTACGCGAGTAGTACACATTTAAATAAAACACTTTAACGGTTTAAAACGCGATATATTAGTTAAACTTATTTGCAAATGATGTTTTACCTTCAGCCCGACGTTTCGGATGCTTTGCCGCAGCAGTCTCCCCTTGACCACGGCTGCTTTAGTTAGTGTTTTATTTAAATATATATGTCTTTAGTTTTTGGTTTATCATCTATGGACGGTAGTTCGAGATTCGGATGAGTTTTAATATTTCTATTACCAAGTATATACATCTAAATATAACTTAATCTAGACTATGGCTGCTATATAGCATGTAAAACGTCGGGTCGTAATTTATAAACATAATAACGAATATATTTCGCGTTTTAAATGAGTTTTATTCAATGTCTTTAGGTCGATCAATTATAAATTGCAATATTTTATATCTACAATTATAATGATTTATATCGTTTGAAACCTTGATTAACCGTCACGTAATTCTCATCAGCCTTCTAAGTAGAAAAATCTGCGCATACGATTATGCAACACCGATAAAATATATATAACATATCTAAGAGGAACTAAGTACGTTTACCAATGATTACCAACTAAAGTTGAACCCGTTTTATTCTCCTGTTCCTCAAGTAATCGTTGGTTGAATTTTATCTGGGCTCACGTTATACTGGTCATGCGCACAATAAAGTTAGATGCAGATAATGTAATAATAGAGGTGATAATATGATAAAAGGTTGAGGTGGTATCATTCGCGATCTATGTCAATATTGACAGTGGAATTATCGTTAGGCTAATTAGGTGATATTGCGACGAATGTTTGTTGCTAGGCGGTACATTGTTAGGTTTAGGTACTGTCTGTAGTTTATGTAAGTGATACACATCTCATTAAACTATTCGAACGGTTCAAAACGCGAAGTATTAATTAACTTTTTCTTTTTTATAACTATACTCTATATCTGTAAGAATTTACATAAAACACTTATAACCGTTTAAAACGCGAACTTGTTGACGACGTTTAATTTTTTTTAGCCTATGATTACTAACTAAAGCTGTCAAGCACCTGAAACGTCGGGTGAAGTTTAAATACATTTTAAATAAGGTGACCAATGTATTTCGCGTTTTAAGCGGTTAAAAAAGTTTTATTTAAATGTTTAATACTCGCGTAAACTGCAATATTTGAGTACTGTCTGTAGTTTACGTGAGTAGCACACAATTAAATAAAACAGTTTAACGTATTAAGTATAAATATATTTTAGTTAAACCTTGTAAAAAAGATTTTTATCTACGGCCCGACGTTTCGGATGCTTTGCAGCAGCCGTGGTCACGGGAAGACTCCCCGTAGTTTAAATTTCAAACAAGTTTAACGAAAATATATCGCGTTTTAAAGGAAAATTTTTACTTGGTACCATTTTTACTTGAAATAGTAAAATAAAAAGAATAAATTAATTAAATGCAACGATATGTCTTAAAAAACTGGTTAATATTTAAATCATTGTATTCAGTTGATTCCGTAATAACTATTCAAGGAATTTATACTCTTACGCTACCTGTTATCTAATTACTTAACACAACATAAAAAATACAATTAAAGTTATAATTAAGTTAAACCAGTTAATTCTCAGTAACAAAACATTAAAGTAGTCCACTGGCCGGTAATATTAAGACGAATGGTGGGCTATTGTCCTGAGACTGCTAATTAAACGCGGTGTTAATTGCCCCACGAGAATTAAGATGTGAGATCGTAATGTGTAGCAATCCGTCTATGTTAAAGCTTTAAGCTGTTTTCGGGTTATGGTCCAAGTTATAAGACAACGCGACACAAATTTATTGTAGTTGATACAATATCAACTTTTTACGTGTGTTATTAATTTGTATTAAAAGTATACTAAGTATAGTACTTGTACATATATATACAACATACATAGAACTGTCAAAAATCAAGGTTTATTTATAAGATATATAGATTTATCAATACATTGTGTTTGAACATTTAAATTACATTGTTACAAAACGCAATATATGAGGTTAATGTCATAAAGTCAAGTCATAAAATTTAATGACAAAAAAACTGATTAAAACAGGCTCGTCTGTAACTCACCACCAACCGTTGCATCAAGTATGACAGGTACAAGTTTGAAAATCTTCACATGCCGACATAAACAGGGTTTTACTATAAACCTAACCCCCCAGACTTGTACCACGCATCAGAGCTGAGCGGAACAATAGATGGCACATAATTTGTACAGTGATATATTTCGTAAGCACAATGCATGCCTTTATAAATTGCTGCTGAGTGTCTAAAGTTACGTGTCTCAATTTTATTTTGAGTGATCGTTCTAAGCCACGATACTTTCGTTTGGAGAGAAATATTTCCAATTACATGCGTAATAGAGAAGAAATTTGCGCTCTTGTTTCGCTAAATTAAAGCTCGGATAGTGAAGGATTACTATACTTGAAGTCTAGTAACTTACAACTTGTGTATTGTATGTACTTTAAGCGAGTAGTATCTACTCAAAAAAAAAACCACTTTAAACGGTTTAAAATCTCACCACGGCTGCCGAAGTAAAATTAGGCCGTACTAAGTAAACTTTAAACAAGATAACTAATACATTTCAGGTTACGAGCCGTTCAAAGTGATTTATTGCAACTTATAACTTGGTTTAAATGGTTCTATTTTTAAACGAAGTTAAGATTACTTTGTCTTTTATTTTTGTTGTATTTATATGTATGTCTTTTAAAAGTCTTAGAATAATCGATGCTTAATTTAGACCATAAACTAAATATTAATGATAAAGGTAATTAAGAACAACAGACAAAAACTTTACAGTCCTTTTCTTACGATCATAACATACAGACAAAATATTTCTCGTATTAAGAGCCTCAATACGTCAAACAGACAATTGACAAGGTCCCGCAACAATATGCTTCTGTATTCACAATAACTCTTTATATTCTATTACAAAGTGCTATTCGCCGATTTGCCTGCGCGGACGCACCGCGACAATGGCTTTTGTAAACAAATTGTCCATTCGATGTTTACGATTATTGAATGTTTATTGTTTTGTTTAATAATGATTTTGTGAAATAACTTAGGGTTACATCATCTTTAAATGGAGACTTTTGTTGGACAAAGATATACGTATAGTAATTTGTTGTTTGAAAGCTCTAATCGCAGGAGCTACAGGTTAAAAAAAAATATTATAATATAATAAATATTTTAATATTTTTGTGTTGGTTAGAGCATTTATCAAGAAATGTCAAAGCGAAAAACAGTGGGAATTGTGGAAAAAGAGGTTAAATTAATCTAGAAGGGTTTTCCGTTGCGGGC